CCCCAGTACCCCAAGCCTGTCTACCATCCACTCTGGAGCCAGGCCAGCTGGCTGACACCCCTGCAGTTCCCAGCCTGCCACCTGGACTTCTAGCCAACCCACATCACTACCCCACCAACTGTTCCAGGCACATGTACACTCAGCCAAACACCTGCTCCCTCAGCAGGGCTGCCCACTGATCTAGGGCTGGGTCCATCTGACAGCAATCTGTAGCAACAGCCCATAGGATCTGAATCTCCGGGCCCAGAGCATGCCCACATCTGAGGGGAGCAGGGTGCCAAAGCACGTCCCAGGAATAGGAAAGGCCCTCAGGATGGTAGCCTCCCCAGGGCCAGGAGGCGGAGTTGGTCTTACCAGCAGGCAAACAGGAAGTCACAGGGATAGGCTGATGCCCTCGCTGCAATTATGTCATTGCAACTGGCCTATCAGGTAGCAAGTGGACCCACAGGGAGAAGTGATTGGTGGAGAACAGTATAAAAGCAGCCGCTAAAAGCTATAAGATGGACCAGTAAAAGAACCACGGATGGAATGAGAAGAATGGGGCAGCAGAGAGGGGTACAAAAGCTAAGCGAAAAGCTAAGCAAAAAGCTAAGGCATAGGGGGAGAAAAAGCAGCAGAGAGAGGTTACAAAAGCAGTAAGACCTATGCAGAGAAAAGTATGGGGACAAGAACGGGGGGGAAAGCAGCAGAGAGGGGTACAAAAGCAATAAGGCCTATGAGGAGAACGGGGAAAAAAGCAGCAGAGAGAGGGCTAGAAAAGCAGCAGAGAAGAACTACAGGGAAAAAAGCAGTGGAGAAAGAGTATAAAAGCAGCCGCTTTTGGCAATAAGGGGTCTGACTGCGGTTCCGGCTTTTCCCAGACCCTCAAGAGTGTGCCTCGTAAATAATGTCACTAAAGGTCAGCCACACATGTCCACCTCACTGCCATGCTTGCCTGTTTCAGTGAAAAAATGGCTCATGTGTGGCCTCCCACATACCCAGCCCACCTACCAGCCCCTCTACTCTCAGCAGGACTTGGCCAATGCCTCATGCACAACAAGCCGCTGGCCCCTGCTGCTCTTGGGGAGGGCAAGCTTCTCCATCAGCAACCCTTCCCAACACACCCCTTGCCTACAGATACTTGTCACCCACTCCAGGGACATACCAGCTGGCTAGCACCCAGCCACAGCCAGCATGCCCACCACCATGTCCACCCTGCCACCCCACTTGTTACTGCAGAGCCACGCCGGCTTGGGCAGCAGCCATCGCATACCCAGCCCACCTGTTCACTGCAACACCTCAAGGCCAGCTCTGCTGAAGGCTGCCCACACAAAGCAGGTTTGCATACTATCCCATTTGTTGCTTCAGGTCCAGGTTCTGCTGGTGTCACTAGGCCCGAACCCTAGCCTGCCAGCCCCATTGGCTACTCCAGGGCAGGATGGGATCGCCCAGTGACCATGCTCCCTCAGTAGGCAGCATGGCCACCTGCTGCTCTAGGACCTGGCCCATTTTGTCAGAGACCCTGGGTCCTGGCGTGGCATGCTCTGTCATTCCTCCTGGCACTTCAGGACCAGGTTCACTCCTCCAGGACCTGCTGTGCTTCTAATATTCTAGGCAGCCAGGCACAAGGCAACTGGACTGGAAACCTTATGCCTTTAGCTTACCCACCCAGTTGTGCCATGAGTTGCTCCAAGACCAGGTGGGCTCTGCCAATGCTTGCCAAGCTCCTAATGTCCACCTGTCCCACCACCATCCCCTGCTGCTCAAGGACCACTCCACAATGACCGGTGCACCTGCCACCCTCCATCCACCCCAGGGCCAGGCTGGCCCACAGAACACCCCTCTCTTTCCCAGCTTGCCTCTAAGCTGCTACAGGGCCAGACAGGCTCAGCTGTTGCCCCACATGACTCTAGCCCGCCTAAGCCACTCTCCCACCCACTGCTCTAGTGGCCCGCAGGAAGTTCCCCTAGCACCATAGGCATGCCTAGCATGCATGGGGTATGCTCCAGGGCCAGGGGGTGCTCAACCAGACAGCCCAGTCCAGTCCCCAAGCCTTCTGCTGGCTGCTCCAGGGCCAAGTCTGATAGGTCAGATCACCCTGTGTCCCTAGCAACCCAGTACCTGCTTCATTGCCAAGCTGGCTCCGCTGGTATCCCTGCACCCACAGGACTATCATCATCCATTGCATGGCCAGCTCAACTCTCCAAGAACCCCTCCCCACTGCACTCCTATCCTGCCCACCCTGCCACCCACCCACGCTGCCAGCTGCTCCAGGATCTGCAGGGCTAGCCCAGTGACCCAGCATCCCCAGCACACCACTCACTGGCCTGCTCCTCCAACACCACGTCCACTTGTCCTGTGTCCACTGCACACCTTGCACATCCATTCCACAGCACCTTTCCCACTCTGGGGACAGGCCAATTCAGTCGGTGACCCTCCTGCCCACAGTGCAATATCCCTTGTCCCCAGGACCAGGCTCCCAAGCCCAGGTCCCCAGCTCATCTAGCTTGCTTGCCCTGCCACCACACACCACAGCCAAGCCAGGGCTAGGCAGGCTTTGGTAACGCCTCCTAAGTCCCCAGCTTGCCTGTTGACCATTGGTGCCAGGCAGGCTCAGCCAGTGTCCACAGCCACCCTCTGGCAGCTGGCTGCTCCAGGATCACGTTGACTGAGCTGGCGCCTCCAGCGTGCAGGCATTCCACAGTCTGGCTGGCTCTGGCGATGCCTCCTGTGCCCACAGCCTTATTACCATCCTCTCCAGAGCCAGCTTGCCAGCCTCCCCATACCCAAACTATCTTGCCTGCCACTCCAGGGCCAGGAGGGCTCAGCCAGTTCCCCCAGCACCCATAGAGGCTGGCTGCTCATGGCTCCATCTTACAAGAGTTGCTCTTGCTCCCCTCCCCACAGTGCAGCACTCAAGTGTTCCAGAGTTGCTTCCTGCTTCTTCTGCTTTGGGCTGCAGTCTTCACACGGCAAAACTAGGACTTGAGATAATAAGATTGTTCTTCAAACAGTCATCAAAAGATGCTGTTACTTGCAAGCGTCACTGTGTCAGAGCTTCGGCCGTTCACATTCCATCCTTCTGAGTGCGACAACTCTGGCTTCACAATCGTACATTTTTTCTACACGTCTGTGCTGCATCTCTTGCAAGACTATGAGTTTCTCTTCAGCCTGGGCTCTAAGGGGGCATGAAGGAGACTGGTATGTGACATACTGCCACTTCAGGTCCCACGTGCAGAGAGGCATCCCTGGAAAGGAGTTATTTGATAAGTGAGCAGATAGCATTGCATCGGTGGGCAAAGTGTGGCTTCCAATTTAGTGAACCTACACAAGCTGCTGACTTAGGACATTATCTTTAACAAAGAGTGAAAAACAAAATTCTCTACAAGTATGTGACAAAAGTTTCTTCCAAGAAACAGTTCAGTTTAGCTAAGCATTTCAAATGGAAAAATAATGAGTAGATAATTCACAATGAAAGCGGCCAGATGCACTGGAAAATCTGTTACAAATCCTTATGACAGAATTTCCTAGTTAAGAAAGTAAGAATGTTAAGAAAAGTAGTTTTAAAATGTTAACACTAAGGGCCCGGCGGCGTGGCCTCGCAGCTAAAGTCCTCACCTAGGATGCCCTGGAATCCCATATGTGTGCGGGTTCTAATCCCGGCAGCTACAATTCCCATCCAGCTTCCTGCTTGTGGCCTGGGAAAGCAGTCGAGGACGGCCCAAATCTTTGAGACCATGCACCTGTGTGGGATACCCAGAAGAAGTTCCTGGATCCTGGCTTCAGATCGGCATAGCATCGGCCGTTGCAGTCACTTTTAGAGTGCATCATTGGATGGAAGATCTTTCTCACTCTCTCGCCTCCTCTCTGTATATCTGACTTTCCAATAAAGAAATAAATCTTTAAAAAAAAAATGTTAACACTAAGATACTCACTTTTGCCCATCACAAGTGTTTTCTTTCTTTAGGTCTTCGAGGTTTCTTTCCACGACATAAGCTGCCCATTTGAAGTAATGGAAAGAAAAAATTAAAAGAAATGTAATAAAAGGAGGAAAAATATATGAGAGAAGGAAAACGGTGACCATACCGTCTTCTTAAAACCACACATATTTGAAATATATTCACCACATGGAAGTTAAAAGCTTTTAAAAACATTTTAGGTACACCTGGAGATGGCATCATCCTGTTGCCATGCTCCCAGGGCACCAGTTGAGGGGGCGAGGGGGCTGAGGCTGCAGGCTTGGGTTGGGGGAAGGCTAAGGGCATAACACCAGTGGTCATTGGGGAACCGGGAGCTCATCACTAGGCAGGTGGAGAGAACCTGGGGATTTCCTTATGTGTCTGGTCCTGGGTGAGGTGAGGCGAGCCGAAGGGAAAGCCCCAGGTCAGCACACTGCTCTGGTGAGCTGGTGGACAAGGCCTGGAACCTGCAATGGGGCTAGATCTTGGGTGTGTATAGGGGTAAGACACCAGGCCAGCACATATGGGCCTACAGAATTACATTTAAAAAAAAAAAAAGCAATAGTTTGGAATTAAACATTAAATATGTCCACATAAAATGTTGACCTGAGGGCAGGCAATTGGCACACAGCTTCAGTTGCTGCTTGGAATGCACACATTTCCTTCAGACTCCCCGGGTTTGACATTCATTCTGATCCTGCTTTCTGCTGATATGCACTTCTGGGAATCACACACTCAGTAAAGCAGGCTAGACTGCTGCACCTGCTGGGAAATGTCAAGACTGCAAGCAGACTATCTCAAACTGGTCACAGCAACCACTGGCCCATGCAAGACCTGCGGCTGGGAACAGGCCTGATAGGGGACAACTGGAGAGAATTAGAACTTAGAGGTGGGGTTGGCCAAGCTGAGCCAGGCTGTAGCATCTGATGGCAAATGCCAAGTCCTGAGACAGACCATCTCAGACTAGGCCGCAGCACCCATTGGCACATGCAAGACCTGGGGCTGGGAGTAGGCCTGGCTGGAGAACTTCAAGGACTCCCTTGTTGGCTACTGCTTCCACTGGTGAGTGTGACAGCTCGGACTGTGGGTGTGCCAGGTTGGGCTAGGCTGCTTCACCTTCAAGTGTGCATGAGACCCAGAATGGGCATGGGCTAACCAGGGTAGGCTGCAGCACCAGCTAGCATATAAAAGGCTGGGTGCAAGTGCTTCAAGAACTGGAGATTGGAGCACGCTTGGTAGGGGAACTGTGGGCACGCCTTGGCTAGGCTAGGCTGCATCTACAACCTGTCAGACAACCAGAGCTTGCGGTGGACCAGGCTGAACAAGGTGGCGGCACCTATCAGCACATATGAGGGTCATACTGTGCTGAGCTAAGCCACAGCACGCATGGGTGTGCATGAAAACTGGATGCAATATGAGCTGGGCTACAGCAGACGGTGGCATATGCAAAAACGTGGCTGCAGGGCGGGTCTGGTGCAGGTTACTCAGGATTGCCCCAACTAGACCGTGTGACACACTGCTATGCTTGAGGACCCCGGTCTGTGGCAGGCTGGCTGGGCTGGGCCTTAATACCTGTCAGTTTGCATGAAATATGGAGCTGGGTCAGCACTGATGAAGCAGCTACATCCACCAGCATGTATACTGGCTGGTGCATGCTAGAATCAAGTCTGAGCTCCCCCCGATGAGGTTTCCTGGGGGAGTCCCTGACTAGACGGCTGGACTCAGACCCTGGCCACAGGGAACTACCAAAATCACTCAAGAAACACCTTGGAATACTTCCCCACAATGGGGCCTGCTTGATCATCAGATGATCATCTCCCCCATCACCAAGTACTGATGTAGTTTGACAGCAAGGAGTGGCCCTCTTGCCCTCTTCCCCAGTGGACACAGTAGAAGAAAAAAAAAAAAAAGGAAACATTTGTCTTACCCACTTTCCTCAGTGTCTGAACCTGAACCTCCCCACCCTGATCAGAGGCTCATGTGAGAGTTCATCCCTCAACTATGTAAACATAACAAAATGAATATAAGAAATTAAATAAAAAGGAAAGTAGCTGGGCTGGGTCCCTGCCACCCATGTGGTGACTCAGGATGGAATTCCTGGTTCCTGGTTCCGGCCTGGCCCACGTGGGGACAAGTGGAGAATAAACTAGCAGATGGAAGCACTCTTGCTCGCTTGCACACTCTCTCTCCACCCTTATTTGTCTTCAATGGTTAATTCTACACCAGCATTAAATGTCAGCTGCAAAATTTGAAGAGATACCAAAGGAATGTATTGCTTAGAATTTTAAGCTTTCTAAACCATAAATGCAAATACTGACAATTCAGAAAAAACAGAATCATACTAAAATTTATTTCAGTAAATCATACAATTTTACCCTCATTCCTGAAGGTCCTTATGCTGATCACCCACTCAACATTACCACCACATTAACTCCAAATATCCTTCAGACGCATCCCAGAAATCCTTGGAGTTAACCATAAAATAATCAGTAAAAGACAATCTGACTCAGCACAAAAAAAAAAAAATAAACAAGAAGAAGAAGAAAGAAAGAAAGAAAGAAAGAGAAAGAAAGGAAGAAAAACACCAAAATTGGAATCCAGAATAAAGAGGTCTGTCAGGGACTAAAAGGCAAAAGTTGGACCTAGAGCCAGGATGACACTGTGTTGTAACCCCTAGGCCTTTGGCGATATCTGCTCATGAGCGCTCAACCTCTTCTGTGCCTGCTGCTGAACTTCACAGCCCAGAGCTCCTGAACGCAATGGCGCACACATCAAAACATACATAAATCATGTTCAAATAGTAACAGCTAACTTCAATACCATTTGAGCATCTTACCACTTTTAAAGTACTTAATTCTCACATTAACACATTGAATAGGTACCATTACCCAATCTTTTAGGATGAGAAAACTGAGTCAAGGGCTATTTAAGAAAGCTGTCCACCATCACACAGATGCAGAGCCTGGCACCAGGCAACAAGGTACAGTATCACACTAAAAATTATTAAATAGAAAAATCACAATAAAATACTATAATAAGACTTAGGTGAACACATGATGACCTCTCTCAAGCATATCCAAATTACCAACATCACTGCTGTTGTATTTTGAGATCATTTCTGTAAAATAAGAGAATATCTGGGGGGCCTGATGCAAAAGCTCAGTGGCTAATTCCCCACTTTGCATGTGTCAGGAGTCCATATGGGCACCAGTTTGCATCCTGGTTGCTTCACTTCCAATCCAGCTCCCTGTTTGTGGCTTTAGAAAGTCTTTGGGACCTGCACCCATGTGGGAGACCTGGAACAGGCTCTGGGCTCCGGGCTTTCGATCAGTTCAGCTACAGCCCTTGCAGCCACTTAGGAAGTCATTTTGCATAGAAAAGATGTTTCTCTGTGTCTCTACTACTCTGCCTTTCCCCCCAAAATAAAAATCTTAAAAACAAAGAAAAGAAAAGCATATCTGATTACCAGCAATGGAAAGGCATGACAGCCAGTCCGATAATTAAGATAGATGCTAAACAGGGGCAAAGGGATAAATCCCATTCCAGACAGGACAGTGACCCACACAATAACATTTCTTCACACTAATCAGAATACCACACAACTACAAACTTACAAACCACTTAAAACTGGGATTTTCCACGCAATATTTTAATGCAATTGACTGCAGGTAATCAAAATCACAGAAAAAAATCTATGAAACCATAGACTGACTTACGCCTTGGGGTAAGGGAAGACCATCGCAATCCAATACAACAAAACAGTTCAGAAAGAATACTGTACATTCACGGTCAGCTGATTCTCAGTACAGCTAGCCTAGTTAAATCAACAGAAAAACAATGCTGTTTACACAGTGCTCATCACAACTGAATATCCATATGCCCTCCATCCCCAAAAACTAACCTGCCTATGCACCTCACATTTTATACACACACAAAAAGAAACAGTGCAAGTTGCACCATCAACTTCAGTGTGAAAGCCAATCGTTACAACCCCACTTGTGAGACCCACATCCCACACGCCAGTGCCTGAGTTCAAGTCCCAGCGCCACCCCTAACTCAGCTCCCTGCCTGGCAGAGAAGATGACTATGTAAGTACCTGAATCCCTGCCACCCGCAAAGGAAATCTGGATTGAGTTCCTGCCTTCACCCTGGCTGGGAGGGAACCAGCACATGGAACCTTCTTCTCCTCTCTTTCAAATAAAATAAAAATAAGGGAATAAGTCAACTCAAAAGGAAATGCTTTGTAAATAAACCTAAAACCAAAGAACATCTACATGGAGAAAAAAATATGACTATAGTCATAAATAAGGAAAAGACTTCCTTAATGATACGAAAACTACAATCCATCAAAGGAAAACAGGAATCTACAAACCATTCTTCCACCAGATACTATCAGAAAAATGAAAACACGAATGAAAGACAAGAATAAAGTTTTTGCAAATCATGTCTCTCATTAAGCACTTGTATTTAGTATAACAAACTCTTACAAGTATACAAAGCCAACCCAACAAACACTTCATTCAGGAAGATACACACACAACTAACATGAACATTAAACAATGCAAAGCATCATCAGTAGCCTTTAGGAAAATGCAAATGAGAACTACAAGGAAATACCAGTGCGTACCTAATACAATGCACATAACCAAAACAGTGACAACACATTTGCCAGGACATGGAAAAACCACAAGCCTCCACATTACTGGGCATAATATAAAAACGGTTCAGTCATTTTGAAAAACATTCTGACAGTTTTCTTCTTAATAAATATAAATGTTACACAACACCTAGCAATTCCACTCTGTTAAGAGAAATGAACACATATGTCCACTGGAAGCGTTACACGTAAACAGGCATATTATTCTTCCTAACAGCCAAACACTGCAACTATCCACTCTTCATCAACTAGTAAACAAGCAATAAGGTACACACATATAAGGGAATATTACTCACCAATAAAAACAAATCAAGTGGGGCCCAGCACAGTAGTCAAGCAGTTACATCCCAA